TTGTTTATTTTAAAGCTAGTAATTTCTTTTTCAGTTAATTATTATATTATATTTTTACTGCTTCACATAGTTTTAATATTCTCAAATATTTATATTGTTATATATTCTACTTAATATCTTTATCAGCTTATAACTTTTAACATAATTCTTTATTTTTATAATCTAACTCCCTATTTTCTTGATTATAGCAACTATATAAAACAATAAAATGTATCCTAATATTAAAAACTATGTAAGTACGTACTGCCAAGGAAAAATCCTAGTTCGGAACTTCAAAATAATTTTTGCTAGACACAATCTTTAAAATTTATATAGATTATGTTTGCTAAATATATATTTAAAATTCCAAACACTAGTTTTCCCTTCATGTATTGTATATTGGAAGTTTAATTATATGGTAAATCTAATATAAACTCCAATAGATACGTAATTGTTTATTTAATTAAAAAATATATAAATAATTCAATCTTTTTGTAACTTTTACTTATATCTTTTCTTTATCATTTATTCTAAAATAACAAACAAATATTCTCAATTATAATGTCTAAAATAACTAATCTTCAAATATATACAGCAATACATTCTCTTGAAGATCTTGTAAAAACACAATATATAGAACAACAAAAACGATTAGATGATCAAAATCAGCAATTAAAGGATTTCGAAAAAGAAGTAAAATTACAACTTACAGATCAACAAAATAAAATAAATGAATTGGCAACTATTGTTCAGCAAAAAGGATTTGATAGTTCTGAAGAAGACAATTATAGACAATTAGTCAATATTATAAATGCAGAGCTAGTTAGTCTAAATGATCATAATGGTCTTATTAATGACAAGTTAGATACTTTTGAAGAATTGCTAAAAAATTATTATTCCAATACTTGTGACAAAAGTAATTTTTCTTCTTCATTTCGATATCCAAAAGCTATTAAACGAATTAAAAAAAGGGTTTACAATGAACAAAGTGAAGAGGAATTCACTCAGAATGAAGAATTAATTGCAGATACAAGATTTTCTTATCATGAAACACATCCAACTTTAGTCCGTTATCTTCATCGCAAGATTAAATTACATCATAAAAAAAAAATTGCATATGATAATAAAACCTTGCCTGCAAATCAAACAGTTGGCGAAGAATATCTTCCAGATATTACCAATACACCTACTGCTGGAAATAATCCAATTATTATTGAACGATATGTTGATTATTTTATGAAAGATTGGGAAGTTCGCAAAAATACTAATGGTATTTAGTAATTGTTTATTCTATTTGTTTTTTTTTCTCAATTGCTATACATATAATTTTTTTTTTTAAGAATTAGTATCTGAACAGCCTTGGACACGTGAAGTAATTACAGATATTGCGGTTCAATATTTTCAACATTTACATAAAGATTATCTTGCTTTAAAAAAGAACCCAGATGCTTTTAATAATCGAAATATTAAACAATGCCGTGATAATCGTCTTACTCTTGTAAGAAAAAAAATTTACAAGTTTTAAATATGTATTTCAAATTTTTAATTTAAAGTTATTTTTTAGAAATCTAAAGCATTATTGAAAGCCTTAGATCAATATTCCGATGAAGAAGAGTTGCACTATCCAAAGGAAGAAATTAAACTTATACTTCATAAACGTTGTATGTCTCCAGAACTAACGGATGAAGAATATCAAGAACTTCACCCACAAGATAAAAAGCAATTAATCGTTGCACCTATGTGTTGGCGCTCAGATGAGGTAGAGTAATTAAAGGTTTTAAATTATTTTACTTTATTTAATAAATTTATATTTTTATTATTTAAAGCATAATAGATTACGATCTATTTTAAATAATAAAGCTGGTATTCAGCGTCCAAGCAGGTGGTCACCCTATTCAAAAGGAAAAGAAAAAGACAATGGTATTTTAAAGCATGTTTATCCTGAATCTGACCATTCTCAATATGAAGAATTAATTGGTCTCTCACCTGATAAGTTATCTTTTCTTCCTAATTGGGCCTATGAGGTACATATGTACGTACATACGTACGTACTGATCCAATAATTAAATGCAATATTTGTATTTTTTATACATAGTATCTAACTCGATATTTATATTTTTGTACAATAGAGCGAAACCTAAAGTAGTATCTAACTCCAATTAATAGTGTAACTATTTTATTCTTTTGAATTATATATATATATATTGCATATATATCGATATTCTTTATTACTTGCTAACCTTATTATGTACTAATAATTATATCGTATTTAGGTTTGTAATCGAATAATCTTCAAAGAAATGTAAGCAAAGAATCCCCTAAAGAAACATCGAAGAGCTCATTAAAAAATTGTTAAAAAGTTCACTAATCCATCGAAATCAAATGCTAAAGGAACCGTTGAAAATTATTGAATGTGTTATAAAATGTTTCTAGATAAACTTTCAAAACAGAAAAAAAACATATATACATATAGATTTGCAAATATTAGTACTTTTATCTATGTAAACTAATTGTTCTACGTATTACTGTAATCATAATTTACTAAATAATGGTAATATGAAGAATAAATAATATATATTGTGCATACAAATATTGAATAAATATAATATAAATAAAATTAAAATATGATATAAAAACTACATATATTTATTATAAATATCGAACAAACAATAAATGAAATTTGTATTTATACAATATTTAAAATTTTGTTTTAATAATATTTATACGATATTTGAATCTTATTTTAGCGATATTTGATTATTATTTTAATAATATTTATACGATAGACGAATA